AAAGATAGCATGTTTCACGGTTTTGCCTGATGCACCATTCAAATGCAGGGTGATTTAGTGGCCTTTTACTGTTAGTGTTATTAGTGTCCTGGTGTGAACACTGGAAAGACAGGGCTTGCTGCTCTCTCTCAGGTCATGTTGTTCACTCACAGGGCATGAGGCGCTCTCTTTCTTGTTTCTGGCTTTGGCTCGGGTTTTGTTTGTCTATGTCAGGGTGCTTGGACTGCTGTCCCTTTTCCTTCTCCTCTCTTTCCGACCGCTATCGCATGCTTGTGGTCATCTTCCTTACTAGAATCTGATTGGACAATACTTACTTCTGATTTGAATTGGTTTTGCAACTAAACCACAGCTGGGTGGTGGCTTTTTCTCACCAAATTTGTCATAAATGCCAGTTTGGTTTCATTTTGCACCCAAAGTTAATTTGATTTTATATCTGATTTCAGTATTTGAGGAGCACAAGTCCAAACCAGGTAAGATCATCTGATTTCATTCACTTGAATATCACTTAAAATGAAGTAGAAGTTAAGATCATGAGTCGGAGGGTGTCAAGCATCCTGACATCATGCAAACTTTGTGCCTTCACGTGTTTTAATTAGTTCTTTTAGTTGTCGTACCTGAAAAATGTCATCTTGAAATAATCCCAGCTTTCATTTTTCTCAAGTAGCAGGATTCTGTCAATCATTTTTAATTTTCCAGGATTGCCTTTCCCTATCAAGAGTCATAACGCTTTAGAAGAATTCATAGTGTTTATCTGTCCATCGCATTTAGAAAAAAACGAAGACGGCGCGGAGCAGGCCAAAGTGATTGTGGGTGTCGTGGTTGGTCTCTTTCTAGCCGCTGCTTTGGTGGGACTCATCTACTGGCTCTATATCAAGAAAACAAGGTAAGACGCAACATGACATCGCACAAATAAGTTGAGTATGAAAAAGGAGAGTATATTTCATCGCCTACGTTTAAATTACAACCTGTTCGGAAGAAGTACATATGATTGCAGTAGAAGTCATAGTACCTGCTGTTCTACATCATCATGATTTGTTCAAATTGATATGAGAAGCGAGCGAGCCAGAAATGGTATTGCCGCAAGAGCCCAGTTTGAAATGTGCTGAATGATTAATCAAGGTAAAATTGTCCTGTTAGACAAGGCACCTGGAAGACCGGAGAGAAGGAGACAGGCACTTCAGAGGAGAGTAAGAAACTGGAGGAGAACAATCATAAAGCAGATGTCTAAAAGAGAAGAGAGCTGTCAAAAAAAGAACGAAGAAGGTGAGGATATTTTCTCTTGCACTTTTACAATTTCAAAACTATGGGCAGGGCTGAAAATTCACACCTGCCAAAACTGGGTGATGCATAATTTTGTTTATACATATTTTATTCATACATACACACACACACACACACATACATATATATATATATATATATATATTAAATATGCATGTATAAATAATTGTTTTAAAAAAGTATTAACATTAAATAAAAAAAATCTATATAAATATAAAAATTCTATGTAAATTCTAATGTAAAAAAACTTTATTGTCATTAATGTATGGAAATAATTAGTCTAATTATTATTATTATTTTAATATTAGTCACAAATATTGCAGGTTATCGTTACTTACAGTATCTTATACAGGGTAAGCCAGTTTCCACTTCTCACAAATAGGCTTTCTGATACTCGTGTTCTCATTTTGGTGGCTTAATGTGAGGAATCTTTCATTTACACCACTCATTCACTGAAGTAAAAGACGTTAAAATGGAGTCACACGTGAGTCACGACAGATGTTTTCTTTAGAAGACAATTGTGCATGTCTTTCATCTGAATCACGCACATCACTTACATCAGCGAGGTGTTAGACTATCATTAGTACAATGTGATGTAAACATTGTAGTATATTACAGTAGCTAATAAAGGTACCAGCCAACTGGTGAGTAACTTGTATTTGGCTTTGAATTAAGTGCAATATTGAGCACGCCAACTCAATATTTTGATATCAGGCTATTCATTTCTTCTAATTTTTTCTAATCACATTCATTGTTTTTGTTTGTGTGCGCTAGGTATGAACCAGGAAAGAGGCCTTGTCACACTGAATGTGCAGTACTACACACTTCAATCATCTAATTCCAGACATCTGATTGGACCGCGATGCCTCCTTCAGGCTACTCATGTGCGTCACGCATCACAGAATGTTTCCAGAATATTTCCTACTCCCAATGAACTATTTACTAAAAAAAAAAAAAAAAGGAAAAAAAGAAAATCCCCCACCACGATACAAAAGTGTAAAAGAGAAAACCACTTGTGTTGTAAATTTAGTCTGCACTGAGGACTGCATTTACTTTTGATCGATTCTGACTTTTTCTTTTTGTGTTCCCAGTGAATGTTCTTCATTGCTGATGTGGTGGGCACAGCTGTTTTGTTTCCCCTCTAGTTAAAAAAAAAAGGAAATTCGCTGTACACTTTTTAGGCCTGTGTAAATAAGGGGAGTACGTTCACTCTGCTTAACATTTGGATTATTGGGAAGAAAAAAAAAAAAGATTATGGATTTTGGAATTACATATTGATATTGCACAGTCCCTCATCGAAAAGTCCTAAGATCGCGGTCGGATGCTGGAAGAACGATGACTTCACTGCTGTTACACCTCTGTTTGCTCATGTTTTATTTATTGGTACCTCTTTATGTCACTGCCCTGAGACATTCATGTTATTTCCTCTAGTTCGAAGTGGCTAAGTAGTGAAAACGGGTTTAGAAATTTAGCATAGCATAGGGAAATATCCTGCTACACCCAGTGGCCTTCAGGTTGCACTGCATGATGTCATAGTTGTAGGGCTCGGAACTCAGCAGAACACGGCCCGCTAGAGTTTAACGTAGCGACATAGACGTGAATTGCATATAGTATAAACAAGCAAACATCAGCTCTCTGTATCAGACTGGGTGGAAGCGACCTTGCATGCAGAGCCTTTATTTTTTTTGGTAGGAAGTAAATATGAAAGAAAAGCCCCATTATTCTGCCTTAACAGAAAGAGTCAGTATTGGAAGGCAAACCTCAGTATGTTAATGTGAAACCTCACTGTATAGCCTTTCGGTTTTGTACTTCCCTCGGACTACAAAAACTGCATCTTTTTTGTTTTTACACATTTTCTGTATCTACAATGTTTGTCAGGTTCATGTCCAACACTGTAGTCTTTAAGGATGGGTTGAAGCATTTTTCCGTTCATCGTGGTCTGAAGAAGCTGTAAATATGTTTGAATGTCTTGCTTGTGTTTGGCTATTTATAATGTGTGAGAAATGCAAGTTTAGCTGTGCTTCTGCTTGGTCACTAAAGAGACCCTTTTTATTTAAAATATAATCTCACTTTGTCAAGGACATTTAGAAGAAATTTAGCTTTCACTTTTTGTTTCGTCTCCAAAAACGAGTGTTTTGAATATTCATGTTTAGTGTAACCGTCTCGCATATTTTGAACCATCAGGTCAGCAGTGAAACCAAAGAGGGTAACCGCAAAAGAAGGCCATAAAGTATTGTAAATACTGACTTTTGTTTTTGTACTTTTGTTGACAATAAAAGTGTACATTTTGAAAAAAAAAGTTTCTTTTTTTTTTTTTCTTCACGCACAGTGATTTCAAAAACAAACACGTAGCAGATGTTAATACTGGCTTTTATAAAACGTGTTTTTTTTTTGCTCCACAATAACAGATCACGGGTTACCAACATTACTGAAAGAAGAAAATAATCTCCAAGAAAACTTTTAACAAAGTATAAATTAATTGCACGCATCACTGGTTTTAAATGATCCACAAGGTATTTTCCAACAAACTAAAATCTCTCGTAAAAAGAAGAGGAGAAATGAACAGAAACCGTTCCCCTTGTGAACCTGTCGAAGGCCACGTCCTCTTCCGCTGGAGGGTCCACTTAGTTCTCAGACTTTCAAGTGTAAGATGGAGAGCGAGGCCAGTGCAAAAATGAAGTTTCAAGTTCCAGAGAAAACCTTATAGGGAGGAATGACAAACAGCCAATGGGGGGGAAAAATAGAGAGTCAAAGCGGCCCAGCTTCCATTCCCAGAATTCCCAAAAGGCCTTGAATGAAGTGGTCGCTGGAGTTTTCTTCAGTTTGTGGCCATCACTATTACGTCAAATTCAATTTGACACCATTAAAATGACTGGTAGATGATATTCTGCGTGTTTTTGGTTTGTTTGCCAGGCGCTTATACAAACGGTGCATGTCCAGTTCTTATCTTTTGCATATCGTATCAGTGCAAGTGGGCTGAGGGGAACCGAAAGGGAAGGGGAAAGTTTAGGTGGCTTCCTCCTGTACTGCACTAATTTTAAAATAAATAAGGAACCAATGCATTCAAAGGGGACATTTGGGTTTGTTTTATTCACGAGTTGACAGGCCCTATTTACAGAAGATGAGACAACCATATTAGCCCTTGCTTGCGAACGCTGGAATGCACGCAGTTGTCAAAGGCATCCGTTAAGAGTTGATAAAGAGCAGCTAAACTGAAAAAGCTGACAGAAAGAGAACTGTGAACTTGATATTCGAAGTCCGTCTCTTTTTCTGCCTCAAACGATCTGGTTTGTCGTGTTCACGTCGAATTAATACGATAAAAAAAAGTAACGGTCACACCGAGAGCCATTGCTGTAAAATTCATGATACCCGAGAGGCGAGGAAGGAGCGGCTGGACGTGTGTAATACGTGTGTGTGCGGCAGCAGCAGTGGCAGGAAAGGCATGAACAACCTGCAGACACTGGCAACAAAAACAGAAGCGCTCAGAGCTGTTCTCATTTCAGTCCAGAAAATTTGAGAGAAATACAAACGTCACTGCTTTGAAGGATGCAGCAAATCCATCTTAAAATGTGGATGGACTCCTCCAAATACGAAAAATTCAATTTCAGTTCCTCTCTTGAACAGCCCGAGCTGAAATGACGATGACCTGAGTGCTGCAGATATAAGCCATGTCACTGTAAACACAAGGCTTTTTTTTTTTTTTTCATGATACCCGAGAGGCGAGGAAGGAGCGGCTGGACGTGTGTAATACGTGTGTGTGCGGCAGCAGCAGTGGCAGGAAAGGCATGAACAACCTGCAGACACTGGCAACAAAAACAGAAGCGCTCAGAGCTGTTCTCATTTCAGTCCAGAAAATTTGAGAGAAATACAAACGTCACTGCTTTGAAGGATGCAGCAAATCCATCTTAAAATGTGGATGGACTCCTCCAAATACGAAAAATTCAATTTCAGTTCCTCTCTTGAACAGCCCGAGCTGAAATGACGATGACCTGAGTGCTGCAGATATAAGCCATGTCACTGTAAACACAAGGCTTTTTTTTTTTTTTTCACAGGATCCCATTGTTACAAACGCACCCCTCCATTAGGCTCCTTTTGGTGAAAAAGCACACGTTTTCGTCTCGTTTGCAGTATGTGCTAAACGAAAGCAAGCGGAAGTCAGCCTGCGGTTTGTACGCTTCGAGACAGTCGTAGTTAGTTTGAAATCATTTCGACACGGGCTACAGGCCCTGCCTGGGGGCGACTAGCGCAAACTCCCGCAAAATGTTCCGTGCCACGTCCACTTTGTTCTGTGCGATCATCAGTGCTCGTTTTACGTCTTCAAATGAGTAGCCCTCCCCCATAAGCTTGGCGATCTTGGCGTCGAGGTTCTCCCGGGACGATTCGTGCGGTCTTCTGTGGATGTCTGGTGGGATGATCCTGGGAAGTGGCTTTGGAGGTCTCTCAGGTGCCCTGATGCAATCTCCGGCCACTGTAAACAGGAAACAAAGAGCGTTTAGTCAAAATGGGCCATTGAGAGTGGATGGTAGCAGGCTGACTAAAAAGACTCTGAACACATTAAAACCCCATTACAGGCTAATAATTAATAATTCATTGAGCGCATTCATCTTGATGGCTAATGGCTTCATTTAATAAACCTGCATGGCTATTATGTATTCAGAACAACACGCTGTGCTCACAGCTGTTTTATCAGGATATTACGTGTATATTTTTGGCTCATTCTATTTTCATTCACTTGGCTCATTCACTTTTTCAACTTAGTACCTGAGGTTGGTGGCAGTTGATCGTAGTCTTGCGGAGCCCTGAATGGCTTCTTCATGTTGTCTCCTGTTAGTCTCCGCACAGGGGGACTGGGAGCCGAGTTATTCAATGCGTCTATGAAAGTGTCTGTGAATCACACCAATGATTAGACACCAATTTAACCCAAATAAAGCAGGATTTGTTATTTATACTACATTAATAGTGTATACTACATTAGTAGTGATATGTGGGATCGGCCTCACCAGGGCTGAGCAGGAAGTGATCGTGTCCAGACGAGGGGCGGGCAGGTCTGGGGTAGGGTGAGGAGGAGGAGGGTTCTGTGAAACTGTTCCTGATGGGGGGAGGGGGAGGAGGCTGGGACGGAGGAAGAGAGTTGAACGGGTCTTCCATTGGAGATGCTAGGAGAACAGAGAGAGAGAGAGAGAGAGAGAGAGAGAGACATTGAGTCTTTCTACGTGCCTCAGCAATCCCTCCTCTTACCAACAGATGGAGCTAAAATATCATTCAGGCATGAAATGATTGCTCTCTGAATCTAAATGAAATGTTTACTCAATTGCTATGACACATTTTATGAAAACACTGGACACACTGGTCATACCCATTTGTACAAACATAAAAAGTTTTTAATACTACTGTTTTTATTGTATTTTTGATCAAATAATGCAAGCCGTGTTATGCAGAAGAGACTTTAGAAAACATTTTTGGAACTTGTGTAATTTACTAAATTAACAGATTTGCAACTCAGAAATAAAAGCTTATATACAACTATACAACTAACAGCATTAATTTTGTGTCAAAGCAATTGAGAAAAAGTGTAATATTTTACCTTAAAGTTTATGAAGGTGGTATGATTACGAATTAAACTGAAAGGCAATTCAATATACTCAAGAATCAAAGATCTATCAAAGATTTATGGAAGTGAAGGTGAATAAATGTAAAATACAAATTAATCTTAAGTGTCAGAAAAGAGGCACAGCACAAACACACCTTATGCACGTCATACAGCTCTTAATTTAAGATAATAATAATAAGATTTAGCGACTCAATAATGAATAATGACTGCATTGTAGTTTGCAGCTCATTTTGTGTAAACTAGTGCAATAGTAAATGCAAAACACAAAGCAACAAATCAAATAAACAGCAATGAACTAATTAGGCAGCCAATCAGATTGAGGCGCTGTGCCATTGGCTACCTTGAGGGGGCAGTAGAATGTCGTAGTCTGAGGGTGTCCTGTTGTTGAGGGGGCACTGTGTGGTGTGAGCCACACCCGAAATCAACGAACCAGAGTCAAACCCACCTGAGGGACACAACACAGTTAACTGGCCTCTGAGATTTCAACCACCATTGGCTGCCACATAAAACAATGTATACTTTAGTCCCTGACGCTACAAACACACACAATCTCCCACAATCACACTAAAAGATGGTCATACAAAAAGTGAAGATGACAGATGAAAGACGGTGTGTGTCTATATGTGTACAAGTGTGTGTTCTCTCACCATGCTCTGGAGGTTTATGTTTCTTTATGTCTGTTGAGAGATCTGACGAGCCATTTTCTAAAGCTCTTTATGGAGAGAAAACACATGTAAATGTGGGCGGCACATTAAAACAGTCATTGTTTCACTATCATGTGTGTGTTTTTACCTGTTGGGGATGCGGAAGGGGATGCAGATGGGAGGTTGTGTGATGCAGACGGGATGTGATGTGGGAATCTGATACTCGTCCTCCACTCTGTCCGTCAGACTCCGGTGGCTTGTGAAGGGGTTGGTGTGTCTGTAGATCACAAAAAACACATTTCACAACACGTAAAGGAACAAATGACACCACAGAATCAGAACCACCCAATCCCATGATGCTTCAGGCATCAGATCGGCCACAGACGGGTTCTCAGACCACAGTGACACCATTCAGCCCTACATAGCATGTTGCTATGCGGTCAGTAACGGGTTCAGATTGTTATTAGCATGTTGTTATGCAGATGGTATAGGGGATTAGAGTGTTTTTAATTCTATGATATTCTAGTCTTTATATAGACTTGTTTTCCCTTTCAGTCCAAGTCTGTTGGAATTTTTTTGCCTATTTTAGCATAAATCTGATGGCTTAGAAAAGTAAAAGCAGATCTTTGCTCAACAACAGCATGATTTGGGACATCATTCATATATGTACCATGGAAAACTTGATACATACTTGAACATCTCCCTAGCTCCAAATATGAATTACTGCATTAGCAAATACTCAAATAAACCACCTCATGTGCTCCCAAATTACAGCAAAGTGTGATATAACCATAAGTAAATATTTACATAGATGACAGCATTGTAACTGATGCCGCAGCACTCTTAGGAAAAAAAGCTCTTTGACGGGAGATTTGGACGATGTTCTCCGCCTTCATGCTGACTCACTGAAATGAGCACTCTGCAGTGTGCAAACTGGTCACTGTGAGATTAGCCAGTTTAATCATGTAATACTCTAACTAAGAGTCACAAGGCTGGGCTGAAGTAGGCAAAGCCGGCCAATATTTAAACAGGACGGTATCTACAGGGTGAGAGAGGTTAACTAGCTCTGGCTGAGATGCGATGGGTGGTCTTTCCAACCAAGTCTGAGCTGCTATACCACGATGCACCATTAGAGGGCACTTTAGACGTTTCTTATCCATGTGACGATGAAGAGATTCATTAAAGATCTTTTTCAAGTGTTTCGAAGTGCTCCTTGTTTCCAAGACATCAAGACAGTGTTTATGGAAGTACATTTGCCAAGTCTTTAACAGAAGCCAACCATAGCAATGTGAAAACACCTATGAGAGAGAGATGACAGGTTCACATGTTTTGCTTTCTTTGAGGAGGTGGAAAGTACTCTCAACAGTTCCAAGACGTTGGTTGACGTTCAGTTAACGTATGCTGGTAAGTGTGATGCTCATCACAAAGAACACAGTGTGCCCTGAAGCCAGCAGAAAAGCCTTACTATACTTACTAACAAAACAATGATCTCAGCCTATAAACACATCACTGACTACTGACGCAGCTCTATGGACAGATACACCACATACATAGACATACAACATTATTCTTCTGTGCTCTAAACAACAACCATTGTGGTTTCCAGAGTCTCTCGGTTTCATTTGTCAAAGCGGTGACAGAAACACACTTCTTGTAGCAGGAACTTCTGAGAAGAGCACAACAGTGTTGCATGAATGAAGCTATTAACATTGACAACCAAACCAATGACTAGGGTGCTATGGGTGATAGTCAGAGCTTTGCTAAGCATTTGCTAAGGCGTTTAGAGTGTTTCTAGAACACTTTATCAACCGTATATCAACATACTAAAAACCGCTCCTTAGCAACTATATAGCAATATATTAACAACACCTTAGAAACATATTAAAAGCTACTCAGAAATCTATTCAAAATTTGCTATACTAATGCTATATTTGCTATACTATGACGCTCATTGTTTTTAGAATACTTTACCAACTGTATAGCAACATACCACTCCATAGCAAAATACTAACAATACTACTACTAACGACTTTGTAGCAGCTTTTTTTACTTTTCCTTGAGAAACTGCAAAGCAACACCTAAAAAACACACTGAATGCCTTAGCAACCTCATAGCAACATTTTAAAAACTGCTCCGAACACCTTAGCAACATACTGAGTAGTTTTTAATACATTGTTATGGTTCTGCTAAGGTGTTCTGAATGTTTTTTTTAATGTTGCTATGCTGTTGATAAGGTGTTCCGTGTGTTTGTAGACATTGCTTTGCAGTTTCTCAAAGCAAAGTCAAACCACATTCAAATGTGAATGTTTGGTAATTTTATCCATGTGAAAAGTCCAATCACTTAGAAAAGTAAGAGCACACCTCTTCTGAACAAGCAACATAATTTAAGGCATCATGTATCTGTAGCACAAAAACAGCACAACAAGCTAAGTGGTGAAGTTTACTGTTAATTAACCACTTCTTTTTATCTAATTACAATAATAACAACACAAATCCAACACTCTGAGCGCAATATAAAGGAAAGAAAGAGCATAAGTGTTTGTGACAGAAGAGGATATATGGCTTGCTGCTTGGAGTATAACCTCTCATAGGCTGATTCTGCTTAATTCCCTCAAAAGCCCCACAGGAAGTCCACAACTCCTGAATCTGTGTGTGTGTGTGTGTGTCTTTATGTTTGTTTAAAGAGCACATGCTCTCCGGATCCTGGTGCTCTTGCATAATTGGTGCACATGTGTCCAAACACTGCTGTATGTATGTATGTATATGTGTGTGTGTGTGTGTGTGTGTGTGTGTGTGTGTTGTTTGATAGAGCTCTAGAGATATACAGGATGCAGTCTGTGCACATGATCCCTGGATCACATTAAAAACATTAATTCAATCCACATGATCTTTTTGTCTTTTCATCACAAAAATAATTTGTATGAAAAAGCAATAATTCAGTCATGGAACATCACGAGAGCAGATCAATAAGCAAAGCAGGAAAAGATGCTCTGGATCACGTTAAGAGATCAGCAAGTCCAAGAAAAAAAATGCAATGCTTGAGAGCGGCAAACAGGTGATTTGTCATCACACGAACATGATATGAGGTTGTTTGTTTGGTGAGGCTCCCTTCAGAATAAAAAACGATTCGGCAGCTTTACAGCGTTTATGATCAACATGCACACAAAAAACAAGAGCAGCAACAGGGCTCCAGGGAAGGGAGTGGTACGTGTGTGTGTGTGTGTGTGTGTGTGTGTGTGTGTGTGTCGCTTACCTCTGGTTGTGGTCCACAAGGGGAGGGGAGTGACGCAGAGGGGGGATGTCATACTCATCACCAGGTAACAGGCCGTTGATGAAAGACTGCAGAGAAATACATGCACACAAACACGCAATGTTAAAATAATACAACCAAGCCATTTTTGATAACACATTTTTAGATTTAATGATCAATAAGCAACCAGTCACATAGATACAGAAAATATCCATATGGGACAGAATGAACAGATCCATAGTGGATGAAAACAGTATCCATTTGAACAGATCAATAGTGGATGGATGGATGGATGGATGGATGGAAAAACAACAAAAGGTGCATATATAGATGGATGGATGTATAGACAATGGATAGAGATAGAAGAATGAATGGCAATATAGAATGATGGATGAATAGACGAATGGATGGAAAGATGAAAGGATGGACTGATTATAGATTATTATAGGATGGATGGATGGATTATTAATTTTAAATCTGAAACAAAGTAATATTGTCCATATCACAAATATTCTATATACTGGTCAGTCCTAATAAATAAATAGATTAAAGAAAAAGAGAAAAAAAAATAGAGAAAACAGTTGATATATTTTCATGCAGATTATCCTGTAAATGTGTCTAGTGAATAAACCAGAAGGAAATCTCTGATGTCTGAGTCTGTTTATTTCAGAGATCAAGAGCAGTGTGTGATGCTGCAGGCAGTGGGCTGAACAGAGCTGTGTGGGCTTGTGACGGGTGAACAGGGGCCAAACTCTCTCTGCCCACACTGTGACACTAAATTAATCCATATAGCGACATGCCAACCCGGGACAGAGAGAGAGGGAATTTTACAGTCAATTGGTGGTTAAATATAATTGCATGTTGAAAACCTTAGTAAAACAAAAGGATCAAAAAGATCCACATGCACTTCAAAAAGCCTAAAACATCTTAGATGTTTAGTTTCCAAGAGGGCTTTAATGAGAGACCTGCTACAGTTTTGCAACCAAATATTTAACTCTCTCGAATCCCCTATCACAGAACACGTTTATTTAAAGCATAATCTATAAACTCTCAGTGAGCCATGAATATGTGTGTATGTATTTTGCATTTTGGTGCATTAGCCTAGATATATGCAAAAACACATGGTGGGGTTGGAGGGCAACTGCTGTAATCATGAAAGGCTCTGAATGCTTTTTAAATACCTCTTTTTTAATGCCAGGGCCAGAAGCACTACACACAGCCGAATTTCACAGTCTTGCTTTACCGCGAATACCGTCACTGTTGCTTAGTAACAGCCATGAGCAAAAAGTGAATATTTATGGCTTAAAATTGGCATGTAAGGGCTTGTGAATGAGTACAGAAGGTTCTAGGTGATTTCAAAGCACAATGTCCGGTCATTTTTCTGCTCTTATCTCATGTTCTTGACTCTGCTTATCAAAGAAGGACATTCCAAACCTAATATAATGTGTCGCTCCCCAAAACGAGTGTGTGAACGTGATCCACATGATACAGAAGGAATGTGTGTGTGTTCCGAACCTTACTACACTCCGACTGCGCGTTCAGTCTGTGGCTGATCCAGTTTAACCCCAAGTCTGCACCGGAGCAGCTGAGGGGTCTTCCGTTGATGTGCACAGGGGTGGCGTGGGCCAGTTTGGGGGAGCGGTCTGCAGCAGACGTCTTGCAATCTGACAAAGCAGGGCTGTCTTTAGGGCTCCAGGCCTCCAGGGGCGCTCTGGGGTCCCTGGGGAGGCCAGGCGAAGGGGTGACAAGCCAGGTGGCCCGGCCTTCTTGAGGGATATGAGGTGGGCGTTCTGGCGGAGGTGGGGGAAGAGGGTCTCTCTGTGGAGGTGGAGGGGCAGGAAGGGGTTTATCCTGTTTTCTGGACATGCCTGGAGATGACTGCAAAGCGAAAAGAGAAATTTGGAACACATGGAAATAAAATGAAGAAAAATCTAAAAATGTATTGTGATCTAAAACAAAAGATACCTTGGGTGAGCCTGTGGGACTAGGAGCGGGAGAACGGATGAAATCAAGGCGGGGCGGTACGGGTGGAATGTTCAAGTGAGGACCCATGTGATCTGCAGCGGTTTTCCGGTGTTCACACACAGGGGATGAGTTCGGAGACATTATTGGCGAGTTCTGGATCTCCATGGACTATGCAAAGAAACAGAGAAACACTGATGATGGTTTATGCAATATTTAGTAGCGCTTGCAAAGATAAGCATCATTATTATTGTTCATTTATAGGGGTTGTTCATACCTGTAAGTTTAAAATTTGGTGCATAACTCATAATGCCCTTTGCTTTTACTTTTCTAAGCAATAAAATGACCAAAAAAGACTTACACTGAACTTGAGACCTTGGGACAATCAGAAATAAATCAGCTAGAACAGTGGTTCTCTACCTTCTTGACTCCAAGGCCCCCCATTGTCAAAGATATTTTTAAGGTTTTTTTTTTTATTTTTTTATATATATTACTGAAACAAGGAATGAAAATATATCAAATAATTTAATAAAATTATTTAAAAAAAATAAAAAATCCATAATTCAAATTTAAAAAAAAATAAAATTTACTCACAAACAGCAATTTCTACCTGCTTTTAAGAGCTTATCATAACTAGCGACATGTATATTCATTACAGAAATGTCCATGACTTTTTAATCTTTTATTAAAAGATTTTATTATCTAAAATAACGTTTCTTCATATATCCAAATTTTCCAAAACAATAGGAATTCTGGTTCTTAAAAAAGACAGTTTTGAGGGGAACAAATTAAAACAAAAAATATTTGCATCTGATTTCGCTTATATTAAAGCTTGTTCTGTCTTATTTTAAATAATATTAAGCTATCTTAAAGCCCCTTTGGAAGTTTGCTGATGCCCCCTAGTGGGTTCCAGTCCCTTGGTTGAAAACCTCGGACCTATAAAAGCTAGCAACCACCAAAAACACTCTAGCAACCAGATAAAAACACTCAAATCACCTTAGCAACCACATAGTAACAGCTTGACAGTCATCCTTAAAATACTGTTTTACACAATCAAGCAGCACTCAATTTTTTCCCCCAGAAAATGTTAAATCTTGTTAAATCAGTGCAATTCAGTTTCAATTTGCACAGGTCTTGGTCTTGACTAAAATAAAATGCTTCTAACAAACAAGACAAGGAGAAGAACAATGACAAACTCATTATTACCCATCATCATGATTGCGTACAAAGTTCTCCTAATGGCCTATTAGCTCCATGAATTGCTTTGGGCAGTTTAGGGTATTCAACATCCTAATCAACTAATAATAGCTGCATTAGCATATCCATGAACAGAGCAACTGCAGCTGGCCAGCTTTTGTCCATGGTGCAGAAAAATATTTACAGAGGGGGAAAGAGCTGCTAATTCAACGATACAGGAAATGAAAGGTGAATAATTTGCACTTTGTAAACTACACTTAGTACAAACTAGTTCTCACCCACTAGGGGGCCAATATCCTCTACAAGTTCTCTTGCAAGGGCATTATGAGGAGAGGGAAAAAAAATAATATCTTGCATTTCTATTTAAAAACGTTCCTGCCAGAAGGTGCCCTCTACTGCTCTCCAAGCTCGACCATTTAATGAATCTACTCAGTGGAGCTGCGGAGGTTGTGTCCTCGTGAGGCAGGTTCCAACAGGTTTCTTTTTCTAATAAAAGAGACTGACATTTATGCCGGTGGAGAGCGGGAGGCTCTTGCACCTATATAAAAGCAGGATATAGGCCTCTTTGAAGTCCAGTGAAGAATAAGAATAAATTTTTTCTAGAGGCTAGAAAAAAAGATGGTGGTAGTAGAATGACAACAGTGATGTTTGGAGCAGGTTTGGGCAGAAATAAGCTTCTGCATACTTGTAAACATATCAGAACAAACCAACAGACCTATGATAAAGTCAACATGAAATGAATTCACAACCAATTTTGCTACATAACGTGACGTATTCCAGAGTGAAACAAAACAAAAAAGTAGGTCTGGAGGGTTAGGATAAAATCAATCCATCATTATTTGAATGGGTCTTGAAAAGTTGGCATTACATACCAGAATGGATGGAACGGACTGAAAAATAAAGGGCTACATCCAAAAAAAGGAAGCTGTTTCAGAAGTTTACATTTATATAAAATATTACAGACAACATAGATTACGTAGACCATTTTAATACCATGCCCTGATGAACTGTTCACAATAAGACCATGAACAAATATTAAAGTGTACATAATTAACACAAATTCATATTCAATACTTATACACTACTATCCAAAAGTTTGGGGTCAGTAAGAAATGTATACTTTTAATCATGTGATACTGGAGACTGGAGTAATGACTGCTTAAAATGAATTTAAAGTATATTTAATATATAAAATATATTAATTTTAATTGTACTAATATTTTACAATATTACTGTTATGACTGTATTTTTTGATCAACTAAATGCAGCACTGAGCTTAAGAGATTAATTTGAAATGACTTTGGAAATTTCATGGATATTTTACCTTCTTGATATGGTCTATAACCAGCAATTCCTCTTTGTCATCATCATCATCCAGGTCCAGCATGGGGGAGTTGAAGTGGTCCAGGAAGAAGCACTTGGCTCCTACGTTGCGTGGGTCAAACGGATCAACAATAATGGGCTCGGTTCCTTTGATCTCACAGCGACAGAACGGGCAGCCCTGACCATCAGAATCCTGCAGACAAGAATCGAGGACACACTGAGTGAGCTTTAAAATACTAGCACACACTTGTAACACACACAAACACTTGTTGAAGTCCAGAAAACCGCCTCTTAGACACAAGCACACACACAGAGCGTAGTACCTCCGGTGATCTCTACCCCAACGGTTCTGGGCTGCTTATTTGTATAGTGCTGTAAACACTGACAGACTTGTGTGGAAATATGCCTCGGCTATGAGGAAGCTCTTTACTGGCAGGATCTGAAGAGCCATGCTTGATTACAAACAGCTGGAACACACATGCTACCCCCTCAAGCCGGGTACTGAATTTCTCTCATGCAGGCAGACAAGTTCGTCATGTTGCACGGCTCCGCACGGCCTGGAGACAGCTTACACATGGCAAAATGAAAAACAATCATCTTTCACTTCCTCCATTAAACTCGGAGAATCAAAGTGTGTCGATATTTACAAGAACAAAAGATGATCATGGCTGCCATCTGGTTGAGGGGTCGCTGAAAAGACATCAAAGCGTCGTTTGAAACCTAATCCTAATTAAAGCCCTTAAACGGAGGAAAAAGAAACACACCCGAACTGACTCGGCATAAAAACAATGCCATTTAAAACGAAAGGAGAGTGAGATTTCTAAGGGATAGTCACCATCCAAATTTCACTGCTGTGTGTGTTCGTAAACTTACCAGAAAAATAGCAATGAATATTAATGCCTCGGCCAGCTAGGAGGTGAGACGACACTTCTCTAGGCTCTCAGCCGGTTCAATGGTTTATTTATCTGTTAGGTCCCTTTTAAAGGCAGGTGACAGGTTAAAAGAGAAGCCACTTTGGTTGTTCTAGAAAGTGAGAGGGTGAGCAACAGCAGAAGATATTTAAAAAATTCACACAGCACTAATATTATGTCTCGTGATGGACTGTAGCTGAAGCATTTTAGATGTCATTTTAGATCTATGTTAATGTAATGAGTGTTCAGTGACAATTCTGTAATGAAGCAGATATGACACCCTTCTTCACACATTCTTACACTTAAATGCAGCACAAACGCAAGTAAACACTTGCATCTAAACTTAAAGTAGCACATTAACTGTTTCACCAACATTTGAGAAGCAGAAAGTCTCTTAATCTTAATTTAGAGCTGCATGTCTACGGTTTTATATTAGACATTTTTCAGAAAAACTTTTTCAAAATTTTATTCTGAAATGATCTGTTTGAAAAATGTGTTTATGCTATATTTCTGTTTAAAATTAATGGCACTTTGGTTTGACATTTTCTTATTTAAGGCAGTGACATTCATACATTTGTAAGCATCAAAATAATTTTTTAGGGGCCATTGTATTGTTTTGATGAAGTGCTCTTCTGAATTCAATTACCTTGAGCACTTCACTTCAACTTTCACGCAGTAAAGAACACAGGTTCATGGTCAATAAGCACAAATCTGATCTCCAGCCTCTCAGAAATCCAGATGGTAGCAGATCCATGAGCAGCAGAGTGAAAAATACTGCGACCAATAGAACAAAAATCACGAAACACTACAATAATACCGCATCTTTCTCAAATTGTTGAGGACATTATTGGAGTCAGAAAGAAGGAATGGAATCAGTGGATGATGCTGGCCAGATTCGATCCTGCTTCTCCCACAGGAGCATCAAGGTTCAAATCAGAAATATGATTGGATCCGCTTGAGTAAGTGAACTTCCCTTTATAACAAGAAAAAGCAGCATGCATCTGGCTGAAGCATCTGAGTTTAGCTGACCCTACCGTGGCCCTGAAATATTTGTTTATCATAAGACAAGCTCTGATGCTCAGACAACGCCCTAGATCTAAACATTTCTGGCAATTCGGAAGATACTTAAATTGTAAACACAAACACACTTCACAACACATTTCTAACATCACCCGTGTAAACATACACAATCACAATCATACACTGACACACAGAAACACACTGACACACAGAAACACACACCCAGAGGATAAATGCAACCAGAAGGGACACATTTCCCACCCTATTTGCCTTTCCTTCACCTGCCTGCTGTGGTGCCGCTTGCATTTGTGATCAGGACAAATGCAAAGGCAACGTAGAGACAGATTACCTGCTGTTCGTTCCCCTCTGAGCCCTGATAACGCTCAGTATTCTGGTCATAGCATGCCATTAAAGCACTTCTAACTAAATCCATCAGCTGAGCACTGGGCATAATTTTTGTTTTTTCTTTTTTTTCCAAAACAATTAGTGTACTGAATTAATAAGTGACAACAGTGCCATCGAAGAGCATGCTTAAGATGAAATATGAGATTAAATGTTTGAAGAAATGAAAGAAAAATCACTTTTAGAAAAAAATTTTAATCTTGTGTAATTTCCAAATCAAGGTAATTTCAATTTCAATGTCAAATTATGCAGTGTGAAAATATTACTTATGTGTAATTAGAACACAAAAAAAATTCTAACTATGAATTTTCAGGAGGAGGAGTTTGGCATTTCATACACACACACACAGCTGGACATTAATAGTAGACAACTTAAATACACTAGTGAAGTATAAAAACATCTTTATACATACCTGCCATGATGTCAAACAGGAAGTGCACATGAGGTGACCACATGGCTCTATCTTAACATCTTTATCATTTTCGGCACAGATCTTACACAGCTGAAACGTGGAGCCCATCTCACAGTACAACTCATACTGCTCCTAAAAAGACCGAAAAAAGAGAGAAAAAAATTTGATGAAAAAGATAGTATACAAAATCTGACATATAGCCTACCCAAACGTGCATCGGTTACTAACCTGTGTGACCTTAATGTGGTCTTGTGGGGTGGGTTCACACAGGCCTGTGAGATCTGGGTTATAACTGCGCCCATCTGGAAACAGATAACTACAGATGGAGAGAAAGATAGCAGAAAGAGAACGAGGTTAAGAGACTTGTCCTCATGTGCAACTGGCTCTGTGGCATCTCCATTAGCAGTGCTGTGAAAGTGGGCCATCTCCCCAGCCCATCCAATCACAGCCAATGTCTGAACCGCTGCACGTACAGCAGGGATCAAACCTCTCGGCTAGGGCAATCAGATGAAAGAGAGAGAGAGAGGGAGAGGGAGAGAGAGAGAGAGACGTCCAGACAAAATCTGCAGGGGTTTTTTCTGCATTTTCTGTGTTGGGAAGAATTCAGCAGAATGGTTTTAAACAGAATGGTTAAAATGTGTTAAATAGAGCCGACAGCGTTTACTGATGACTTAAAGCATAATCAAATTATCTTAAAAACCTACAGAATGCAAACAAATTAAATGACAGGTGTTCAAATTCTGTATAAATCAGTTTCTTGTGCGTGCCTGGTGTCAGTCTTTTTGTGTGAAGAAAACAGAGTTGTGCATGCATATCAGATTCTTTATCTAAACAGAATTTGGAGACCATGGTACAGCTCAGATGGTGTGAGATTGGCGTGTGGCACTGGACCGGGCAGACAGAGCCACAAAACCAGTGATGTGATGTGGTTCAGAGACAGCTGACACAGCAACAGTGACAGCTACATGCAGCTAAACCCGCAAATGATGCCCTAAACAGACATGTCAGTAAGACACCTGCCAACAAAGAGAAAGGGGTGAACAGAGTGTGTGTGTCTATGTGTGTTTGTTTACAAGAAAGACTGCCAATTTATCCGTACATATTGAGCAGAAAGGGTGCTTCACAGAAGAACTACAGGAGTTGATTCCAGGAAAATGGGACAAAATGAGCAGATCTGGACACAGGGGCACCAGAACCCCGTCTTTGGCCCATTCAATCAAACTTAGTCAGTTAATATTAAAATATGCACCACTGCTGGCTCAGATGCAGGAAATAATTATTTATATTTACGTAGAAAAAAGCCAATCAATGCTCCTTGCAATCAATGCACTTAATAAAATGAAAAAGCAAAGTGGTGCCAAACCTACAAACTGCACTTTTATGGTTTACTGCACAGCTGTTACCATTCTGGATTCAATTACTGATAAAAAATCATCTAAAAGATAAAAACTATTGTGACAAGTTACAAAGTTTAATAGTTTGATAATGGAGACAAGAGGGAGGACTGGGACTGGAACTCAAAACGCCCACATGAGCACCATGGCTCAACATGCAGCAACCACTAGGCCAAAGCTCTGATGTTTATTTAATAGTTTAATCTGTATAGGTACTCACAAGCCTTCTCTGCATCCATCAATAAGTGCCTGGAACAGCGGCTTGTTATGTGGGATGGTCTGCAGGATGTTGCCATCACTGGTGACGTAGCCAATGGCCCACTGTCCTAACCGCGTACAGCTCAGCCTGAAGATGTAGCTGGGGACGGAGCGAGAGAGAAACCAACTGTAAAAAACCATAATGCACACCAAAACAGCTGACACATAACATGAGCACGAATGAGGTTATGTAAATAGAACACTTGTGTGCTTATCATTTGCATGAAAGCAGCAGGCTTGGGTCAATTATGTTAAAGAAAACATTTATTTGGGTAGAAACTGAAAACAATAGTGCATAAGTTTTGATATCCTAACAGAAATTATGAAATAATCAAAGGCTAGGAAAAACAATGGAGGGAAAAACACAACCATATGGATGACATTTACTTCTGCATGCCCCTTTACCAAGAAATGTAAGAGGAAAAGGAAACGAAAAGCACATTTTTGGAGTTATTCAAAGACGTCTCTTGGTTATGCAACTGCTGAACAACAAATTCAGCCAGGATTAAGAGACTAGCTGGTACCAGACTGAACCTTTCCATTCAATATCCCACAGCATCAGGGTGGCACAGGCTGGCACTCAGGCCGGAAAAAGGGGGAAAAAATGTTTCTGACGGAGGAATGGAAGGAGAACAGGTTGACATTTCTCAGCAGGAGGTGGAAGAGTTTATACATGTGTCTTGCAGAATTCGATTTGCAATGATAAATGCTACTTCCTCATGTGATGTCACAAACATCACAAATGTGCGAATGAGATGGATCAGACAAAGGTTAGCAAGGCCAAAATAAGACAATTCGACGAGGTACATGCAACACTTCAACAAAAGTGACATTTTGCCATGTTTGAGCCACTATTTTGAGAAATCAGACCGCACACACTGATCCACCACAGGAAAAGGTAATGGCCTGATGTAAGGGATTGTTGCAGGATTTCTTGATTACATTAGAGTTATTTCTAATGCAGCTGCTAGGGATGAATGGAGCTCTCTGTGTTAAATGTGATTAATCTCATAATGCTCCGCTGTGCTGCTTTCACGCTGGACATGGAGCTTTTCATGCACAGGGGGAAAAAAATTGTACAGTCTCGACACTAACTCTTGTTAACACTCTTTCAACTCATCTCTCTGTCAGTCACTCTTTCTCCTCTCTCTTTTGTTTAATATGAGAGCTGCTACAGTACCTTTCCTTTTATGCTTTTAAAATGTACTATTGGCATAATTTATCATTTGACACTTTTTATTTATAGGCTAGGCAAATGCAGTACCTACACCAACACTGAAAAAAATTGGCTTCAAAGATTTTTTTTAATTGATTTTATATCAATTTTTACTTTGAAATCTGACCATAGATAAACCAAACCGCTCTGTCACAGGGCAGATCTTAGTCTAAGAGACTCGTTTTTAGTCATAATTCACTTTTGAAAAAATGTCCATGCTAATAGAATGAATGGGGACTAAAGCTTTGAAGTGAAAAAACAAAACAAAAAAAAGTATGAAAAATTACCATTTAAATATTCTGAAGTCATATGATAGCCTTGTGTGGGAAATAGCTAAATTCAAAACATTTTCACTGAAATTTTCTCCTCCAGTGAGCTGTTAACCATTGACATATGGCAGTATATACATCGCTACCGCGGTATAAATTGTCAACCGCAACAGATTTTTTTTTTATTCGGTGTAAACCGCGACATGTAAATAAGTGGGCGTGGTTAACTCACATGCAGCACACGTGAGACTGAGATGCTGCCTTTTGTCAAAGAAACATGGTGAAAGATGAACGAATAGATCAGGAGGATCCACAAAGGATTACATTTTCAAAAGAGTTGTTAATAACGTGATATTGTAGGAACAAAGGTGCAACAATCAACCGCGAGAGCAGTGCAGCAGCCAGAGAGTTTAGAGGAGCGCACAGGCTCACAACAGAGGAAGCATTATGAATTCAGCTTACCTGACTCCAAAAGTTCATATTTCAATGTCATAACAAATAGAAATAGTCTTAATGTATATTTATCGACATCTTACCACCTCTTATGTGTACAGTTAATTTTGACACACCAGAATCGCATTCAACGTGGACGCGAGTAAAACTATAACACGAGTTTTTTTTTTACTAAATAAATAGTTTACCAAATAAAAGAAAAAGAAAAATCAAACAAGGTGAAGAACGTTTCATTTCTAAAGTATTTGAGTTTATTTATTATATAAAGCCCTTTTTGTAGATTTTCAGAATAACTACATATACAAATAACTATATCGTGAAATGTATTGTTACAGTGAAATAAAATTAGTCATAACGTGAAACAGAATTTTGGTCATACCGCCCACCCCTAATTGACATTACCAAACTCATGAACAGAATCAGTTCAATTCATTTACCAATCATTTACAATGGTTTTGTGAACTGGATCAAGCAATTCTAATGAACATGCCAAGAAGACAAATGAAACCGAAATCAAGGTTTTCAGTGAATAATGACTTCAATTTTTTTGCATGTTTTGAAGCTTATCAGCCTCAGTCCTCATTTACTTTCATGCAACAAGGGTATTCTTCAAAAATAGACTTCCAGCTATCAGTTTTTGTTTCCTGGGGTAATTCAGCTTCCCACGGCTGGTTATTCTGCACTGTGGCACTGGGTAGACAGGTCCTGGTAGGCAGAGAGCGCAATATGGATGTCTAGAGAGAAGGAACTGGGAAATGATTGTCATGGAAAGCAAACCAAGTCACCAACACCCTCCGAGTCATCACACACAAACACACACACACAGATCATAAAAAGCTCCGGGCTGCTGTGACCACTGAGACAGCGAGTGTGTGTTTCCGCACTAATGAGCCCTGCCTCTCGTGTCACACTGCCCTGATATAAACAGACATGAATATGACATCCGGCATGTCAAAAGCTTGATTTTGCCAGGTGACGGTTACGGGTAGATGCTCAGCGTGAAACACATATAGCCTCCTTGGGTGCCGCCATGACCTTCTCACCACACACAGCTGCTGCTCCTCTTCAGTAGATTGGTATTTGCATACAGTTCTGCTCGACCACCCAGTGTCCTTGACTTGCTTCTGTTTGTTCAGCCACATCTCTCGAACCCACATCAGCATTTTATGGCTTCACTATTATCTTGCTGTTGCATTAAACGACTCTAACCAGTGTGTAATCATGCCTGCCATCTGGCTCTGGACCTCGGAGTTGTTTTGGCGCAGATGTGATGCTGTTTCTCTAATCAGCTAATCCAAAAAGGCTGGATTTAACTACCCCTGTCTCCCTGCGGCACTGACCGGCACCCTTAGCGTACTGGTACGGTACAATCTAGACGGCCAATGCAATGGTCAGGGGTTCATTTCCAGGTTACACTGATCTTAGATGCTAGACCAGTGCCTGCTAAATGACAAACAAGAGTCGGAGAGAAGCGCAGACAAAGAGCCTCCTGTAATAAGCTAACTGGAGAAAAACAGCTGGCCTGGCGCACCACGCAGCAGATGGTACGTCTATTACAGCCATCCAGTTACACACAGACTAGTCTGTACCTGCCAGGTTTGTTGATGTACTTCTGCAGGCGTGCCTTTACTTCATCATACGTCAGAAAGGCCATGTAGCCTGGGTGCGTGACTGCCAGGAAATTCCAGTTCCTCAGGATTGAGCCCCACGGCTACAGGAAAGAGAAAAGAATTAGAGAGAAAGGTAGTGGTTTTAGGAAGCCTGTAATCTGTAATACTGCAAAGAGCTCAGAAAACAGACGTCAGACTGGAGTGTGCCAGCATACAGTGCACTGCATTTTTACCACCTTTCAGACGATTAAATCAACAAAGCTGACACACCAACTAAACTAGGTGCACAACTGTTCCTTGTAGTTGGATTTACAACAATCCCACAAAAAATAAATATTAAGTCACAGATAAAAATGCCTGACTGTTACACACTTTTCACACTAAACATATAACAAATATATGATAAAAAGTGTTTTAGATTATACAATAATATGTATTATATAATTACATTATCTTTGCACTATTTATTTTAAAGAAGAACAGCACAAACATGTTTCAAACTAAACATTTAGCACACAAAACAAGTGTTTTAAATTATAAAATAATAAATATGCTATTCAAAATGTCGACAAAAGTATTTGGACACCTACATCATAGTTAAAAATGAATGAATGTTGCATAAAACTAAAAAATTTTTTTTTTTTAAAGATCAAACCATGTGCAATTTATTTTGATGAAAACCACAAACACACTTCAAACTAAATATTTAACAAAAAGAAGTGTTTTGAATTATAAACCAATAAATATGCTGTTTAAAATGAAAACAAGTATTTGGAAACTTTCTGGTTGTCAGAGGTTCATTGAACATGGTTATAGTTAATGCACAATGGTAATGGGGAAGTGGCTATGTCCATTAAAAATCAAAAGAAAAGGGAAGTTACTGTAGTTCTAAGATCAACCATAATTTCTTTGCAGATGCTGTTTGTTTTGAATTGTATTTTCTAATGCAGGGTTTTGTGATTCTAAGGACTCCCAAATGTGATGACCTGCTGCCTAAAATATAAAAATATCTGTATTTTCATGTCACAAAAATGTGATAATTTAAAAATATCTTATTAAAAATTAAATAATTAAATATTAGCTAATTAAATAATTAGCTTTTATTTTGTCACTGCACTAAAGCCAAATTATTAAAATATTGAGAAACATTTACTTTTTATTAAGTTAATTTCTTAATGTTAACACACATTCATTCTGACAGCCCTAAAAACAAATTTTATTACACATTTTCTGCGAACCTGCTAGTACCTTTTAATGGCCCCTGGACTGCAATTTGAAAACATAATACAATGACTTAATACAATGACATTTAAACATTTTCAAGAGTAACTTAAAGGTCCAATACTTTTTGTCTCTTTGTACATTCTTAAACACATCTTGACATATCAGAACTAAATGAAAAGCAGCTGGGACTCTTGATACATAAAAAAAAAAAAAATTATGCTGTTTCCTCTTTCCCATACAAACATAACCAATCCAGACTTAAGCAATTTCCAAAAATCTGCAGCAGAGCTACAAAGAGACAGAGTTTTGGATGTTCAAATGAGTAGGGTGTAGTTTTGTTGGCTTTGGCTGTAAGGTAGCGGGGGTCGTGTGTGGTGATTCAGCCGAGGAACATCACATGACGATTAGAAGCACGGCATGAGATAAAAACTTCATATTGCTCACCGATTGACTCACATGCATAAACAAATCCACGCTAATGAAATGATGTGGGTCCTTCCAGCACATTTCTGGGAATTTGAGTATTTTTTTGCACCAAAGACTTGAGTAGGTAGACAAAAAAAAGTAGGTGTTTTTCAGCCGATACGTAATAAGGCTTGTGCAAGCACAGGTTTGTAAGCATGTGTGTTGTGGTTAAGGATGAGGTGTGTTTTTCTAACTTAGGGATTCCTCTGCTTAAAACAAACCTCTCACTCGACACTCATTCACAGAGGTGATCCCCAGTGTTAGCGCTATTTTCCATCAGACGTGATGACTACAAAACATTGAGACGTTTTTGATGTTTTCAATTTAAGCGTGGTTATCTGTGAGACATCTGTACACGGTTTCTCCTCAGAATGAGTTGATCGACCCACGCTGGAGTGAGAGAAAAACCAGGGTGATCCTTCTGTATCACTTTCGTTATTACGATTAGCTGCTTTTAGAAAGTAGTTGACATTTAAATGTTAGCTTGATATAAGCAGATCTAAATGGTGAGAATTCGAGAGAAATGGTCTTAAATGGAGCTGTGGGAGGTGAGGGGTTTAGGGGTTACCTGAAAAAGACGAGTAAAGATGTCGAACTCAAAGACGGAGATGTAGTCGTTGCAGGTGAGGTCGATGGTGGATTTCAGAGCCATGGCCTCCAACCCGGAGCTGATGGGGTGCACGTCGTGAAGGCACTGCCGGAACATTTTCCATGGCACTATTGTTCTGGAATCACACAAGCACAGACAAATGCACACTGGGATTAGACTTCCTTCTCGAAATACATCAAATAGATTTGGGGTGTAAACATTAACTGAATCAGACATCAAATCCTTCAGTCACTCGCCTGTGAAATTTAATGAAGAAAATGTGTTTGCCAGGTCAGTGCTACAGTATTTGTGATGTGGTTGCTAGGGTGTTCTGGATGGTTGTTAGTGTGTTGCTATGCAGTTGCTTGGGAGTTTTGAGTGGTTGTGAGCATATTACTATGCAGTATGTCTGCGGTTGGTGTTCTGGGTAGCTGTTAGCATCTTGCTATGCAGTTTTTGTTTTAATTATTATTATTATTATTATTATAGTTATTGTTTCTTGCTATGCAGTTGTTAGGGTGATCCGAGTAGCTGTTTTGTTGGTATGTGGTTGCTAAGAATTTTTGGGTGGTTGTTAGCATGTTGCTATGCAGTTGCTTGGATGTTCTGAGTGGTTGTTATCTTGTTGCTATGTTGTTCTGAGCATAGATAAATATACGCAAATATCTTATTACTGGCTGTTTCTATAGGCCACTATATGTAAGCCGTCTGCCATATTGGAATGGTCAAGTGTCTCTAACCGTATATGCATATATGAATATATGAGCAGATGATTTTGCTAAACTAACACAATACAAAAAGACAAAGCCCTTAACTAAGACGAAATTAAAAAGTTACCATAGTTTAAAAACCTGTAATACGGAGTTAATAAAAATAAAAAACTCCTGTGAAAGTTTATCACATTTCTTTGGAAATTTACATTTCTGTGGTTTTTACAACCAGAGGCTGCGCAATGTTGTGGCATCTCAGAAAACTCATTGATTTTTACTGTTAATGATGACACTTTAACCGTTCCAAGTTGGCAGACACATCGACGTGTCTGAAGCAGTCAAGTGTGAGATCTACCTATACATATCTATCTAGTGGTCGACCGATATGGGTTTTTTGACAGCCGATACCGATGCGGATATCTTGGTAAGCAGGGTGGCCGATGGCCGATATAAAGCCGATAAAATTTTATTTATTTTAATTCATATTTAAGAAATTTGAAATAATTTGAAAATGGATTAAAAAATAAACATGTAAAATAAACATACTTATACTCTAGAAGACAAATTATTCTTCACAAATAGATAAATATTTAATACAAATATAATTAAAAAGGAGACAGAACTAAATGACAACAGCGAACAGCCGTCAAAATAAAAGTCAGACGCGCCGTCAAAATAAACCTCGAACACATCGCCAAACAGAAAAACGTATCGGCCGGTGCCGATATTTGATATATCTTATCGGTCTTGGCGATATATCGGTCGACCACTATTCTGAATAGTCGCAAGCATGGTGCTGTGTGGTTTCTAGGGTGTTCTGAGTGGTTGTTAGCATGTTGCTATGTGGTTGGTGTGCTGAATTGTTGTAAACATGTTGCTATGCGATTGCTAGAATGTTCTGAGTGATTGGTAGTGTGTTGCTTGGTCCCACACATTAAGAACAACACACTTGCCAGAATGACTAAGAACACTAGTTCTTACTGTATCCGTGCTTATGTCTGGTAACTCTTATTCACATACTGTAAAAATGTCGTACATATTCCTCTGGTGGTCTGTGACAGCCACAAAATGGAGGTTGAGGTAAATAGAAGAGCATGTGGAGAAAAGTGCCACTGACGCTTTGCTTCGACTCTAAAGAACACTTTCAAAAACACTGACCGTCACAAATTGACCAATAAACACTTTCTGACACAAACACACACTTGGAAGGAGAAAAAGACAATATCAGAGCTTCTTAAAAGCCTGTTCTCTTTTCTTGGTTAACACAGAAATCTTCACTTCAGTGTAATGGCACGTCGAGCAGTCACATCGTTCCTTCAGGTGAGACAACAAAAGAGACTTGTCACACTAATAACAGAGGATCTAGGCTACTGTTCTTCATTCTGACAATCTGACAGTGTCAGCCACCCTGAGAGAGCATTACCCATCATTCCTGTGACTTCTGTTGGCTGCTGTTTCTTAGAAAGCTTTGGACCAAAATCAGAAACATTCTGGTTTCGCAAGTAGCCCGAGTCTTTCAGGAACTAAAAACGGTTCTGGATTAAAACACAAAAGTAATGACAGCGATAATGGATGAGGATCAGAGCCTGTTCATCAGGATAATAAAGAAAATAAGTGAATCATCTGGATGTCAGAAACAATGGCATGGAAGAGCAGCTGGTTAATGAGGAAACATCAGCTTTGCTGATTCCTATTAGAAAGGGCAGTGGCCTGCTGGTTAATTTTTAACACGTAGTGAAATCTTTCTTACACACACACGTTTAACCAGTTATCTAAATGATGACTGCCTTTTGACTTCTATTGCACTTGAATAAAAGGTAATAATATTAAAATTCCCTTCCTATATGATTCACTGGACTACTTGATTCTGATTGTGAAATTATTTTTGTATAATGACCACGACTTAACTATACATTTAATTGTTGTCCCAGGCCATTCTCATATATAGGTTTATTTCGAATGCTAACACGTTTTTAGAAGCAAATATTATTATATATTATATTTCTTATTTATTAATCATTCTTTCAATACAATCACATTTTTTAAAATAAATTAATACTTTTATTCAGAAAGGATGCATAAAATGGACCAAAAGTGACAGTAAATAAATTTATAACATTACAAAAAAAATTCTTACATGTTACAAATGTATTTCTTTAAATTTTTTTTATTAAATAATGCAAAAAAATGTATCACAGTTTCTTCAAAAATATTAAGATATAAAACATTAATAATAAGAAATGTTTCTTCAGTGCCAAATCAGCATATTAGAATGATTTCTGAAGATCACGAGTAAATTACATTTGAAAATAAAATAGGAAACGATAATATTTCAAAATATTATTGTTTTTACTGTATTTTTGAACAAATATAATGCAGCCATGATGGGCATAAGAGACAGAAATCTTAATAAAATCTGACCAACACTTTAAAGGTGCTGTTCAGTGTTTTCCATGTTAAAATGTACTAGGTTTATCATGTAGAGGCAATTATAAGTTATTTGTAGGTTGATTTCTCTAAGCTTTATCATCTCAGCATTCAAACCCATTTCCATCATGTCATGAGTTCTGCGCATTATGCATCTTCAGCATGATTACACTGCAGTTCAGCATGGAATTGACCACTTTTTCCAGAGCAAATTTGTGTTTTGCATTTGTATTAATCAGCAACCACAGCAAAATAGCGCAAAAGTGGTGATGCATCACCAGGAATAAGGAAACTCATTCTAGCCTCTGATAAACTTCCAAATGATGCAGTAAAGAAAACAAAGAATTAACCTGGTGAGTTTACTGAAGGGTAAAGAAATAAATGGCTCATAAATACCATACGCATCCAAGTCAGCAATATTGAGGTTACCAAGTAATTTTTCTACAAGTGATCCTTCTTTTCCTCCTTACACTGTCTACTTGTAGCTGGACGGGAGAGCTGAGCTTAGTTCTGTGATGGACAGATGAAAAAAGACAAGATCTAGTTTAATTACATTTATTATAATAGCTGACCCCTTAATTAAGGAAGACTTTTTAAATGGGCCGAGGGCATTCTCTCAATGGACGACACAAAAGGAAGCTCATTAAGGACCCTGTTCTTGCCAATTACTGTAGCAGGACAGGTACAGACATACGCATAATACCATCATACTAATAAATAACAGAACAAAGAAGTGGAGAGTCAGAGCGAGGCAGGTCACGAGGCAGGAGAACTATTTTCACATCTATTCAAACAGGCTCCAAAAAGCCTCCACAAAATCATGTTGTCCGTTAAGAGAAACAAATTGGGTCAAATTCTGAATCTGAGTGCTTGCTCTGGGGCAATTTGGTTGTGTGATAATCCCCTGTGCTATCAGAAGAAAATCAGCAAGTGCATTATTTGAATTCACTAAACAGCTGCCGCCCGAGTAAGACAGAAAACAGGCAGCTCAGCCAATGGCCTTCAGTGTTGCCACAGGAAACCGTGCTCCTATTGGCCCGTGGCCACTTACGACATTTAAACGAGAGATTGAAATGGATTTGAGTCTCGGCGGACAGAAGGGAGTTTAATAAGGAAAATTAGCTTGAAAACAATCTCTCCTCAACCCGTCAGTCAGCGAAACAGCGGGACATTAATATGAACTGATAATGAGGAAACGGTGAGCAAGACTTCCTGTTGCTACTGCAGAGGAACATATAGATCTTATTTTTCCATCATTATATCATCTGCATATCAAATACTGCACGCCTATTGCATCTGTGTCTGGGTGGGGTTAGTCTACGCATCATAGTACAGAAAACAGTGTTCAGATGAGAGGGGGAGGTGACTTCACATTTATTCCATTCTATGGTTACTCTGAGTAAAAGCATTATATTCCATTATCAAGAGACCACAAAGACAGAAGGAGAGAGATAGAGATAGAGAGAGAGAGAGAGAGAGAGAGAGAGAGAGAGAGAACTTATAATTATAAGGTTTGATCAGTGTTGCCACAGGAAACCGTGCTCCTATTGGCCCGTGGCCACTTACGACATTTAAACGAGAGATTGAAATGGATTTGAGTCTCGGCGGACAGAAGGGAGTTTAATAAGGAAAATTAGCTTGAAAACAATCTCTCCTCAACCCGTCAGTCAGCGAAACAGCGGGACATTAATATGAACTGATAATGAGGAAACGGTGAGCAAGACTTCCTGTTGCTACTGCAGAGGAACATATAGATCTTATTTTTCCATCATTATATCATCTGCATATCAAATACTGCACGCCTATTGCATCTGTGTCTGGGTGGGGTTAGTCTACGCATCATAGTACAGAAAACAGTGTTCAGATGAGAGGGGGAGGTGACTTCACATTTATTCCATTCTATGGTTACTCTGAGTAAAAGCATTATATTCCATTATCAAGAGACCACAAAGACAGAAGGAGAGAGATAGAGATAGAGAGAGAGAGAGAGAGAGAGAGAGAGAGAGAGAGAACTTATAAGGTCTGATATTATCTTTCTAATCTCAGAGCAATCTGACCTGCTAGATGAATTACATTACATTTTTTACACAAGAATGCTTATGGTCTAAAAATCGGGTATACTATATATACACATAGTGGGGTCCAAAAGTCTGAGTTCATTAGTGAAAATGCATCATCTTTTTTGCATTTTCTTCCTTCAAAAGACATAAATGACATGATGATCATTTTTTGTCTTATCTAATAATTTATTAAAAACTACATTGAATATGCAATTCACAACGAATTCTATGATGACCATTTTTTTTCTCTGTTATTTCAAAGTCAAAAATGCAGAGTGATGCAACCATCCTGATAACATAATGAAGAAAAAGAAGCCTTATTAAAATAATAAAGTTCTTGAAAAGAAAAAGTTGTCATAATATTTGATTATTATTTCTTAGTAAGAAATGTACATTACTGTTCAAAAGTTTGGGTTCAGTAAGATTTAATGCTTTTGAAAGTAGTCTCTTATTCTCACCAAGGCTGCATTTATTTGATCAAAAATACAATAAAAACACTAATATTGTGAAACTACTTAAAACAATTGTTTACTATTTTTTTATATTTTAACATTTTATTTATTCCTATAATGGCAACACTGAATTTTCAGCAGCCAAAACTACTGTACTTCACTGCTTTTTAATATTTGAAAAAACAGTCAACCAAATCAAAACCATTTGGGCCATTAAACTTTGAACTTGAAAAAATTTTTTACAGTAGATTTTTCTTGAACAGTATTATTTGCCACTGAACGTTTTTACAGTAGATTTTTCTTGAACAGTATTATTTGCCACTGAAGTTAATTTACAAATGTTATTTTCAAGATTACATTTCATCAAGTTAATTGAACTTCACAAGTTTGCGTAAAACTCTGAGGCAAGAACATCTGACCAAGTTCCAACGATCAGTGTCACAAATTTACTTATTTGATTAGTGAATCTGAAATATTTCTCATTTGTTACAACTTTTCAACCAGACTTTTAGAACGGTGCATGTTAAACAAGTTCATTAATCTTGTCTCAGTACACAAAACACGCACAGACATGCATATATGGGTACGCTGAGCAGCTAACTCTGCAGGCTACAGATTTGAGCTCTAGTTCTCACTGGATTGATGGCATAAGGATGCTGAGCTTTCTATTTCCACACAGAGCGAGAGAAACAGAGATAGAACAGCTGAAGGAAGGCTGCTCTACTTCTCGTATCAATGACTCATGCACACTTCCTCTGTACAGAGCGGGAAGTAGACCTTTATAATAAATCTATAATATATCAGAGCGGTAACTAGATACACACTAGAGGCTGCGCCGGTCTTTTCCCGTCTCTCAATCTCTCTTGCTCTTCCTCTCTTGCATAGCTGATCACACCTGCCCCATTATGAGGCCTTTCAGTCTCTAACACGGCCTGTGTCCATGCACACGTTCACACTTCCTTTAACTCTCCGATTTGTTGGATCAAACAGAAGATAAAATACGCAGCAGCCACAGAGATTGCAAATGAATTAAACATGACAATCTGCAAATGGACAACACCATTAAAGATCTAGAGAGATCTGCACTCAGACGGCCTGAGCGCTGTGCTTAGAATGGAAATCAGCTTAATTCCACGTTGTTATTTAATTTTTTTCTCCTATCAGAGAAAGCAATTAAAATAACCTCACAGTAAAAGAATAACTCTTTAAAAAAACTCATACAATCTAAATTAAAGTCTCTTACAGCAACAATGTTCACAGCAACACATAACACACAAGATGCACAGCCACTGCACTAAAAATATCATGACTATTTTTGTTAAATGTCATCAAGATATTATTGAATGCTTGAATCTGATTGATTTACGAACATTCTAAGATGTGCAATTATTTTCAGAGAAACACATGGTTAAAGTAGCTCCAGGCAGGTCTTGACCGCATTACATGTTCATATCACTTTGCCAAATGATTTCCGTTATTTCAAAGGTACTTACAACAGCAAAAGAACCAAAACCTACAATGAAACTGACCAATGACTGACTCTCTCTGTCTCTCTCTCTCTCATGAATGTCTTGAAATACAACTTCTGAACAATATCTTGAGATGTGGTAACTTTAGTATAAGTGGAATAACTGATTCAGGTCTGTTGAAATATTAGAAAATAATGCACACTCGAGGTGTAACGGCCATTATTATATTATATTATATTATATTATATTATATTATATTATATTATATTATATTATATTATATTATATTATATTATATTAAGGGCTGTAATCGTTAATGCGTTAACGCATGCGATTAATTTTACAATCCTTAACGCGTTAAAATAATTTAACGCAATTAATGCAAAATTACTGAAGCACAATTTCTATTCTAACCCTTTAACCCAATTTTGCTTCTCTGCTTGCGATCAGATCATTTTATGCTGCTAAACTCCGGGAAAGTTTTTTGTCCAATGATCCAGTAAGCGAATGCATTCAAACAATCCGTCCAAAACAGCGCTAATATAAAGGAAACCAGGCTGATTACATCAGAGATTGCAGAGAGAACAGAGACTCGCGCTGCGTTTTCAGTGAATTATTCATTCCAGTGTGTTTCGCTTTTAAACACAAGCTCTGTCATATTCTGTGA